CTCTTTCGCCCTTGTACAAGTACGGTCAGCCCACGAAGCTCATAACAGAAAATGGGACCCAACGTGGGGCCTCAACACGATGGAAAGTTCTATTTAAAGCTTTATCCACCCGTGGCTCCATGATAGGATTCCCTCTTGGAATCAATCGTCCGTCTGTTTGTAACTTTTGGAACTTCAGCCAAGTTAAACCAAGTGTTCTTGTTACTGACCATTATTACAAATTACTTTGATTTGCGTTTCGTTTAAGGATTTTTCGTGTGGAGGTATGCAATGTTCGCTGGAATGTGCGATCCTATCGGCTATATGCAAAAAGGAACGTACCGCGTAACTACCTTCCTCACGGAATTATTTTTTTAAGCATAACATTCTTTTGTTCGTGTAGTTCAATTAGTTATATGAAGTTTAGTTTTAATTCGACTATATGACAGTTGACTAACCATTGGCTCATTCGCACTAAAAAACAAGAGAAAGATAATAATTTTTTTTCGATTGAGGTCTCAGTTTCCGTTTCGAGATACGATTTCCATTTGTTTTGATTTTTTTTATTGTTTTTGAAGATTTGGAATTTTATGGTAAGCGTCCTGAACCATAACTGATTTCTTCAGAAAATTTCAGTATGCTGCAGGCAATACGATTTTCTTTTGGTACCACACGCCAATTATATGCAGTATTATTGGGCCACCACACAATGCCCTTAGGATCAGACCAGTTAACTTTTGATACTATTTTTTGGTGGTGATATTTGATTTTTGATTTGGAGTAATTTATGATGCTAATATCTTTTTATGTGGTCGAGTTTTGCTGCTTTTGATATTTTTGTATTTTTATTGTCGATTGCTAAAGTAGCAAGAAAATTTTGCATACGAACAGACGTTACACAAATAAAGTCGATAGTTTCGTCAAGTGAGCTTAAACTAATACGCGTTAGTAGGACTGGATTTCTAATCAAACATTAAGATATTTTTTTATATGCTGTGCTTTTGAACGTTGGCGAAAACATATTTTCGTAATATTTTTATTATTATTTTGTTTGTTTTTTTTTTGAGACAACTTTGTATAACAATGTCGCCACCGATGCAGACCGTCTGTACAATTTGCAGGGAAAACTTTTCTGAGCGAGATGAGGTACTTGTTGCCTCATGCTCGCATCGTTTTCATAGAACTGGTTTATTGTCGTGGCTGAAGAAAAACTCATCTTGCCCACAGTGTAGAGCATTATGTACCAGTAGAGACTTCCACTCGAATACGGGTGTTCGCACTAGATCTCGTACTCCTGGTCTAGACACGTCAAAAACTGGTTCAAACAATAACATGAACTTACAGACTTCTAGCGATACCACCCCACAACAACATCCTCAGTCAGAAGGCGCTTGTGGTTTACCCATTGCTGGAGGCGACACAACTAGCGTTAAAGATAAAGAAGAAGAAAATCGTGTTAGAAATTTGGTTTCCGCAGTCATATCTGCCAGACACGCGGCTATTTTCGATAACTTAGAAAGTCAAGTTTCCCAACTCATAGAACACCGGATTGAAAGTACTTTGGCAAATGTTTTAGAACGAATGAATTTGAACCACGAGCAACCGGCAGTCCGTGGTAGTAATGTTAGCCCTGCTGCTAATGCATCAGCAGCCCATCCTGCACCAAATGGGTCTACACCAACGTGGCCTAGAGATGCTCCTTCTTTAGTCAATCTGAGTAATCAGAATTTTATAAATCAGATTGAGAGTAGCCCAGCTAATAGCCAGCTGGGATGTTAAGTTCGACGGTACCACCCGTCTATACGTTGACAATTTTTTGTCCCGCGTCGAGTTACAAGTAACCGATACCTTAAATGGTAACTTTTATCTTTTGTGTGAGCACGTGCAATGCTTGTTTAATAATGAGGCTAAGAATTGGTATTGGCGGTATCGGCGTTCAGTAGAACGCGTCACCTGGCCATCCCTTTGCCAGGCTTTGCGGACTAGTTTTCAGCAGCATAGAAGCGATTTTGAGATAAAAGAATCCATTCGTGCAAGAAAGCAAGGTCAAACGGAATGCTTTGACGATTTTCGCAATGCAATCTTGAAAATAGCCGAGTCGTTACAATCACCACTATCTGAAACGGAATTACTCGAAATAATGCAACACAACCTGCGACCGCGTGTTCGTCAGCAGCTTTTGTGCATGCCAATTAACTCCTTAGCAGAATTACGAAGACTTTAGACGGCAGGTTAATGAATTGAAATTCAGTCCGGATGCGTATGACGAGTTTTGTGTTAATAGCGAATTCCAGGAAGTTGACAAAATTGCGAAGCGCGCAGCAAAATTAAAACCTGGTTGTTGGAACTGCAACAAAGAGGGACATAGATATTTTGATTGCCTCGAAGAACGCACCGTATTTTGTTACGGCTGCGGCGCACCAAACGTTTATCGACCGACGTGCCCGACTTGCAATCCGGAGAACTGCAAGAAAAGCGAGGAATCCAAGACGAATCCTCGCAACGACACCAAACATTGAATCAGAAAAGGTTGCTAGCACGCTGTGACGAGTTGCACGAAGATGGTGATGTGACATCGAGTATACGCCCTGACGATCCTATTTCTAGCCTTTTTCGAAAAATAATTATTCCTTTTGACATCCGTTTGAAGAGGTATAACGAAATTCGAAATAAACTGTTCGACTCTGAATGCAAAAAGCCTAGTCGTAGATCAGCTCTTCGTATGAAAAGTTTCTGGAAAAATGTGAAGCAAACTAGAAAGAACCTAACGAATATTATATGTGTGTTGCAACGCAAAGAAAACGATCTGAGACCGTACGCCCAAATTGAATTGCTCGAAACAAAACACTTAGGATTACTTGATAGCGGAGCTCAGGTGTCTTGTTTAGGAAATTCATTAGCAAAGGAAGTTTGCCAGCAGGAGCAACTGCGCCAGCACAAAACATCAGTACGCACTGCTGATGGCAAAAATCAAATAGTTTTTGGTACGATAGACTTGAGCGTTAAATACAAAGGTAAAACTGAATGCATACATTTTTTCGTAGTTCCCAGTATGTCGCAAAATGTAATCTTAGGAGTAGACTTTTGGAGAAAGTTCCAAATCGCCCCCAATATAATTTCAGAGATTTCACTTCACGAAAGTGAAGAGTCAAATGAAAACATACTTCCTTTAGGTGTTGAGCAAAAGCAACATCTAAACGTAATCAAAAACCGATGTCCAAGCTTCGAGAAGGAGGGCTTGGGAAAAACCTCATTGTTAGAATACGAGATACAACTCGAGCCCCACGTCCGTCCGATAACGCAGCGTTATTTCCCAATTTCACCAGCTGTCGAAAAACTCGTACATGCCGAAATTGACGAGATGATAAAATTAGGTGTAATAGAGGAAGCTTCAAATAGTCCATGGTCCAGTCCGGTAGTACTAGTGAAAAAGCCAAATAAAGTTCGTCTGTGTCTCGATTCGAGAAAAGTTAATAGCGTTACCGTGAAGGACGCATATCCCCTTCCGCATATTGATAGTATTCTTAGCAGAATACCTAAGGCCAAGTTTATAAGTTCACTAGATTTGCGTCGCGCCTTTTGGCAAATTCCCCTTTCAGAACAATCCAGAGATTATACCTGTTTCACTGTCCCTAATCGTCCGCTTTACAGATACCGCGTAATGCCCTTCGGCTTGTGCAACGCCCCTCAAGCACTTTGCCGCTTGATGGACCGCGTAATACCACCTAAACTAAACGACCAAGTTTTCGTCTATTTAGACGATCTTCAGAAGATTTTGACACTCACATGTCCGTCCCAGCTGAAGTTGCTCATCATTTAAGGAAAGCTGGTTTAACAATAAATATAGAAAAAAGCAAGTTTTGCATCAAAGAAGTGAAGTATCTGGGTTGCATTGTTGGTGATGGAATCATACGAACGGATCCTGATAAGATTTCAGCTGTTACTCAATACCCTGCACCGACAAACGTGAAGCAAGTCCGGCGTTTCTTAGGAATGGCGGGTTGGTACCGAAGATTCGTAGATAGCTTTACAACGGTAACAGCTCCACTATCAAACCTATTGAAAAGGGTTATAGGCTTTAGTTGGAACGGTGAGGCCCAACGAGCATTTGAAATTCTAAAAGATAGACTGTCCTCAGCTCCTGTACTGGCAACACCAAACTACAGCAAGCCTTTTGCGATACAATGTGATGCGAGTAAGCTCGGTGTTGGTGCAGTTTTGTCACAAAAAGACGACGATAACATTGAAGTGCCAATTGCTTACTATTCCCAAAAACTAAACAAGGCGCAAAGTAACTATAGCGTTACTGAGCTCGAATGTCTGGCCGCAATACTTAGTTTGAAAAAATTTAGGGCTTACGTGGAGGGGCAAGACTTCACGATTGTTACGGACCATGCAAGTTTGCAGTGGCTTATGCGACAAACCGATCTGTCAAGCCGACTAGCACGTTGGTCCCTAAAACTCCAAGGATTTCGATTCAAAATTGAATATAGAAAAGGTTCACTTAATGATTGCTTATCACGACAGAATTTTGAAGAGGTGCCTGAAGTCCACGAAATTGAAGTATGTCCGTTAGTTGATTTACAGTCGTCTGAGTTTATGTCCGATGAGTATCAAACCTTGATAAGTCATGTCGGAGATAATGAAAATCGTTTACCTGATCTACAGATAATCGAAAAGCACGTTTATAAAAGAACGGAACACCCAGATGGCAACCCAGAAAGGGAATCGTTTAATTGGAAACTTTGGATTCCCAAATCCCTAGTTGAAAGTGTTATCAAAAATGCCGATTGTCCCCCAAATAAATGTCATGGTGGTATTGCTAAGACATTGGAGCGTTTGCGAAATAATTTATATTGGCCAAACATGACAGTAGACGTCAAAAAATTCATCAGTCAATGCGAAACTTGTCAACAGAGCAAAACGCCCAATGTCACGCTACGACCACCAATGTCCGCCCAGTATACGGTACAGAGACTGTTTCAAAAATTGTATGTTGATTTTCTTGGGCCCTACCCACGGTCCAAGAACGGAAACATAGGAATTTTTATTGTCCTTGATCACTTGACAAAGTTTCCCCTTATAAAGACTGTTAAGAAGTTTAACACGTCAGTTATTTGTGACTTTTTACTTGAACAGGTTTTTAATATTTTTGGAACACCCGAAATAATAATGAGTGACAACGGCAAACAGTTCAAATCCTTGCAGTTCAACACGTTGTTGTCGGCGCGGGGTATAAAGCACGTTTATACAGCCATATATAGCCCACAAGCCAATGCAAGCGAACGGGTAAACCGGTCTATAATTGCAGGAATCAGAGCGTACCTCAAGAATGATCAGCAGTGTTGCCGCGCATAATTTTTAGTGGTAGCCAAATTCCTTAAAAAAAAAGGGCTAAAAAAGAGCTAAAAAAGTAGTTGTGGCTAAAAATGGTAGCTAAAATTTTTTACTTACATATACATATATAAGTATACACGTAAACATTTTCAATAAGTAATGGTATGTATATAAAAACAATGAACTTTGGAAAAAAAGCTAATATTTTATCCAAACAAAAACCTTTTTGTACCAGCTGCTTGGTGGTTCCATCAAGTGATTGTACCATCAGGCTCGAAGCATATAACTTACCAGCATGCTGGTACAATATCTATTTCTTTACAAATGAGATCGAGGGAAGATCGAATTGATTAGAGCCGAAATTTCATAATTTTTCTAGCATTTTGTTTAACACTGTTTTTTTTTTGTAATTCACAACTGCAATATCGTGAACGTAATCTTCCACAAATACACCTTTGACTCATATAGTGCAAGAAATTTCCGCCAAAATACTTTTTACTTAGAAAATTTAGCTAATTTCACCACTAATCACAGAACATACACGGTCAATTGACTGGATGGGTCATTTAACAAAATATTTATATTTTAAACTATAGTTAAATCGTTAACAGATAAGTTAACAGCCCCAACACTTTTACAGTATGTATGTATAAAAGCGTAAGGAACATACAATACATATACGTATATATATCAGTCTTTTTTAGTTTAAAAACTCATCTCTTACATAAATGCAAAAAAAAGCAAATTAAGCATATACAACTTTTTCATGCCAAGTATGAATAAATTCTAAAAAGGGCTAAAAAAAGGGCTAGGGGCAATTTTAAATTTATGTGACCAAAAAAAGTATGTGGTAGCTAAATCTAGCCACCAAAGGGCTAAAACGGCAACACTGATGATCAGTCACACTAGAACAGAAATATCTCAGATATCGCAGAAGCACTTAGGAGCGCGTATCATCAGACAATTGGTTGCTCACCTTACTTTGCGTTGTTTGGCCAGCAGATGGTATCACATGCTGAAGATTACGAATTGCTCAGAAAACTCACAACGCTGGATGATAACGTACTCGATAGGGCAGATAGGCTCAAACTAAAGGGCTAACTATAATATGAATAAGCTGCCGTAACTGACTGTCAGAAAATGAACGAAAAGTCTGTCAAATGCATAAGCAACGTAGTGTAGACTTTTAGGTGGCTATATTTTACTTACATGAGTTCAGTGTTGCCATATTTATTAGATATAACAATAGCCACTATCAAGCAGTTTGTTGTAGAT